ATGGGTAGGTGTGCATTTAGGTAGCCCAGGGCATTTGAGACTTAACAGCGAAAAATAATGTGATGCACGTATCATTTAAGAAACACTCTATGTGTAGATTAAAGAGATTTTTATTAAAACAAAATCTGAAAAAACGGCAGAAAGTACAAGACGAAAAACTAAAGACGCACAAAGTCATATCAATGTTATTTGTATTTATTGACGAACAGTAAACAAACAGAAAATAAAACCACTTAGATTCGCCTTACAGTCATCAAATTACTGTATGCCTATTTTTTTGTCGGGTTCGGCCTAATCAGGATACGTTTCATGGTCAGAATTGCCATTACTGGACATCGTTTGAGGTTTGACCTAAATAGCCTAATAACAAACTCTACATCTTAGTCGTTTTATGGTGCTGGACATGCCGACGTAACTAAATATAGCCGATTTAATGTACACAATCTTCATAAACACTACTTATGAATATCTGTCTAATGGCGGAATTGACGTCACAAAGGGTCGACCAATGAGAATCATTGGTTTCCAAAAGGGAAACAACTCTAGATATTTTGAATTTCTCTATGTTTGCAGGTAGAAATAGTACTACCTGTGCATCGTGCAATACACCAATCACTGTCTTAAGATATTATCTGAATGAATTTTTCACAAAAATAACATTTTTATTTTCATTTTTGGTGACCTTTAAATAATACCGACAACTATTTCCGTCAAATGGTACACTTATTTTGAAAAAAAAAGACCTAAACGAAACAAAAATCGGTGTCATTATTTTTCAGAAAAGTAATAACGTTGTTTACAATAGACTTACTAAGCCAGTCGGGAACCCTAACAGACCTGACCATTAGAACTGTTTAAACACTTACAGCTTTTTCTGTTTACTCCGAGTGTCATGTGTATCCCTTTGGTAATCGTCATTCTATCTCAATCATTATCAGATTCGTTTACGACAAAGAAGCACTTGGCCCCATCCCCTCACCAGTAGCATACAGCTTTGTGTTTACATATCCCCAAAAACAGCCATTCGCGTGAATCCCGTGGGACAGTGGCTTTATAATTATTCTCCAAGAATTTATATCTAAAAATCGATTAGAAGAATCAGTTATGGCCATTCTGATAGAAAGCCTAGGATAATGATTTGTCATGGAAAGTCTGGGAAATCTCATACTGACGCGAGATAAGTTACACGTGACCACATGGGACAGCTCCGCAGTGAATACACACCTCTAGGAATAGCCCCGCAGTAAAGTTATGCAAATTTCCTAGCATCATGTCTGACGCGCTTAGACAAGAGTGGCGAAATGCCTAATATGTTTAATAGCTTTCTCCATCTACACTAGAATCAAATAAAGATTTTATGTTTCATAAGTTGGCATAGTTATGGGTGGCGTTAACGGAGGTGGCGATATGACGAAGGCAGTGACCAGGCAGTGGCCATCAGGGATCGGGAGTATCGTAGGCGATTTATATTCATGCGGATAAAGTCAGAGTTTCACACCACATACGAAACGAAACTACGTTAATACACTGGTAAATGTATAATTGTTGTTATAAACAAACGTTCAATTGGTTTTAAAACGGATAATGCTATCACCATAACAACTCGGGCGGCTCAAAAGCATCGTATAAAAACATTTTGAAAACACATATCTCAATGACAATCACCGTTTATGAATACACGATGTTCTCTCTCTCTCTATCTCTCTCTCTCTCTCTCTCTCTCTCTCTCTCTCTCTCTCTCTCTCTCTCTCTCTCTCTCTCTCTCTCTCTCTCTCTCTCTCTCTCTCTCTCTCTCTCTCTCTCTCTCTCTATATATATATATATATATAACTACACGATGTCTCTCTCTCGATGTTCTCTCTATATATATAACTACACGATGTCTCTCTCTGTCTCTCTCTATATATATAACGATGTTCTCTCTCTCTCTCTATATATATATACTACGATGTTCTCTCTGTCTCTCTCTATATATATAACTACACGATGTTCTCTCTGTCTCTCTCTCTATATATATAGAACTACACGATGTTCTCTCTCTATATATATAACTACACGATGTTCTCTCTCTCTATATATATATAACTACACGATGTTCTCTCTGTGTTCTCTCTCTCTCTATATATATATCTATAACTACACGATGTTCTTTCTGTATGTATATAACTACACGATGTTCTCTCTGTCTCTCTCTATATATATAACTACACGATGTTCTCTCTCTATATATATAACTACACGATGTTCTCTCTCTATATATATAACTACACGATGTTCTCTCTCTATATATATAACTACACGATGTTCTCTCTGTCTCTCTCTATATATATAACTACACGATGTTCTCTCTGTCTCTCTCTATATATATATAACTACACGATGTTCTCTCTGTCTCTCTTTATATATATCTCGATGTTCTCTCTCTCTATCTCTCTCTCTCTCTCTATATATATAACTACACGATGTTCTCTCTGTCTCTCTCTCTATATATATATAACTACACGATGTTCTCTCTGTCTCTCTTTATATATATAACTACACGATGTTCTCTCTGTCTCTCTTTATATATATAACTACACGATGTTCTCTCTGTCTCTCTCTATATATATATAACTACACGATGTTCTCTCTGTCTCTCTCTCTCTCTATATATATATATAACTACACGATGTTCTCTCTCTATATATATATATAACTACACGATGTTCTCTCTGTCTCTCTATATATATATAACTACACGATGTTCTCTCTCTCTATATATATATATATAGCTACACGATGCTCTCTCTCTCTCTCTCTCTCTCTCTCTCTCTCTCTCTCTCTCTCTCTCTCTCTCTCTCTATATATATATATATAACTACACGATGTTCTCTCTGTCTCTCTTTATATATATAACTACACGATGTTCTCTCTGTCTCTCTCTATATATATATAACTACACGATGTTCTCTCTGTCTCTCTCTATATATATAACTACACGATGTTCTCTCTGTCTCTCTCTATATATATAACTACACGATGTTCTCTCTGTCTCTCTTTATATATATAACTACACGATGTTCTCTCTCTCTCTATATATATATAACTACACGATGTTCTCTCTGTCTCTCTCTATATATATATAACTACACGATGTTCTCTCTGTCTCTCTCTATATATATAACTACACGATGTTCTCTCTCTCTCTATATATATATAACTACACGATGTTCTCTGTCTCTCTTTATATATATAACTACACGATGTTCTCTCTCTCTCTCTATATATATATAACTACACGATGTTCTCTCTCTCTCTATATATATATAACTACACGATGTTCTCTCTCTATATATATATAACTACACGATGTTCTCTCTGTCTCTCTCTATATATATAACTACAAGATGTTGTCTCTGTCTCTCTCTATATATATATATAACTACACGATGTCTCTCTCTCTATACACGATGTTCTCTCTGTCTCTCTATGTATATGTATATAGCTACACGATGTTCTCTCTGTCTCTCTCTATATATATAACTACACGATGTTCTCTCTGTCTCTCTCTCTCTATATATATAACTACACGATGTTCTCTCTGTCTCTCTTTCTATGTTCTCTCTGTCTCTCTCTCTATATATATATAACTACACGATGTTCTCTCTGTCTCTCTTTATATATATATAACTACACGATGTTCTCTCTCTATATATATAACTACACGATGTTCTCTCTGTCTCTCTTTATATATATAACTACACGATGTTCTCTCTCTATATATATGTATATAGCTACACGATGTTCTCTCTGTCTCTCTCTCTATATATAACTACACGATGTTCTCTCTCTCTCTATATATATATATAACTACACGATGTTCTCTCTCTATATATATATAACTACACGATGTTCTCTCTCTCTATATATATATAACTACATGATGTTCTCTCTCTCCATATATATCATATATCATATATATATTTAGAGAGAGAAGAAATCTTGTATATATATATATAATATAGGAAAAGTATTATGTATATGATTTAGAGAAAAAGGCTTATTTTTTATCTTCTAGGCGCACTTTAAATCTTCCATATTGCTTTCATACTGCATTGTTTTCGTTCTCTACAAAATGGCAGTTCTACATGTCTTTAATATCTGTTCGATACTTAAAACCTAACATGTGATAGTCACACATGCGCCGTCACCATACCTTCATACATCCCCACCGTGTAGCAATCAGTGACACTCACCGCTAAAAACGAATATCGTGTTCGTAAATTCCTTCACATACAAAAATCGCATTACAGAGAAATGAATAGATACATTTCGTATTAAATAGACATCGTATGAAAGGCTGGATACCTAATCCTTTAATTAAGATCCTCTAACAAAGATGAATGAGTGTATTGCGTAGAAGTTCAAAATTCTGTAAAGACCATATTAGATATGATATGGATTAGAAGGTCAGGAAATTGTGCGTGTTGTCCCCCTGGGATTGTCAGGGCGTGCCGCTTAGTGGCTGTGACAGCTATCTGATCTTATTGATAATAAGGCCGTACAACATGTTGTCGCACTTCTGCGCATGTCTAGACCCCTTGCCGTCCAAAATCTGCTCTTTGTGCTTTCGCAGTCGATCATTATATATATATTCTAGGCGTAAAATGAATACTCATCCAAGACTTTCAGGATTTAGTGACGTCATAAAGGAATCGTGATCCCTCTACTAGGATCATCGACATGTCTTAGAAGCATTTAAAAATGAATTCCGGACTGTTCTTACGGCTCATGCGTGTGGATGGCTATTTGATCAGCTAGCTTGGTAGATTGCGTAATTTATATTAATTATTGCAAAGTAAAGGTATAATTGCAGGACCACTATAATAGGACTATGAACATGTAACTTTGATATATCGTTTAACGCAAGCGTGTATTAACACGATTTTCAAAACCACGCATGCGTATCCATCAGAGAGCTGTGAGGGAGAGCTCCTTTTGTTTTTTATATCTATTTTATATAAATGTTGCTGGAGGCAGAGTTTTATCAAATTAATATTGATTCCGAGAAGCGATTGGCGACATGACTGTGTGATGGAAGATCTAGGGACCTGATAACGATGGTCAAATCCCGTCATTTTCAACTCTCATCGCTTTGTAGCGAGATGTGGAAATATCAGGGGACGCTGAATTCTATATGAAGCTATATATCTAGAGCTGTAGAGAGTTACTATTGACGTCGTGTCGGGCGCCCTCTGTGATACTCTATTTGGCCACACATACTTATGGCAGGATCGCGCGACATAACCTATCGCTGCAGTTAAAGCTATCATTGGTTTCGTTCGTATGGATTTTAATCAATGGACATATTTTTAAGCGAAACAGGTTAGTTCAATTTGCATGAATGTTTTTCTATCTGGGTGTTTTGTTGTCGTATGTGTTTCTTTTTGTTTTATTTTGTTCTTTTTTGACGATTTTGTTGATTTGATGGTGACGGAGTTGCCCGCAGACACAGTGTAACGCAACGCTGTATGTAATGACATCTTTATTAGATACAGGTACATATATATTGGCTAAATTGCTTTCACTCGTCCTAATATTTCGAGACTCTGAATTATAAATGACATAACAGCCGCCGGTACACCGGCAGAGCTGGCGGAATATATACCTGTCATCTCCCTCTGTCGGCATGCCCTGTTCACGGTCTTCTGCGTAAGTAGGTAGACCTAGTCCCTCTATAACTGTATCGGTATGTTATACTCGTGTACATCATGATATAGATAAGTCCTATATATGGACTTCTTAATAGGTAGGGCTGCCCCCTCTGCAGCCTTCGGTAGGTCCTAGCTATCCAAATACGGTATGTCCTTTTTTTTTTTGTTATGCAACGTGATGCTCTTGGCCGTAACACGCCACCTGTTACCTGACTCGTGTTAGTGTCACGTCAAAACGAAATCAGGTATGTATAACTGTTTCGGGATAATTGATATAAGTTCGAGGCAGCGTGCCCAGATGGTTGTGTCTGACACAATGTGTGTTGATGAAGATTCGGAGGACCCCCCTGGCTGTCTTCTATAGTGAAGAACTATCGCGATTATTTGTGTTTAGTTAATGATGATTTAACAAACAAACATAATCGTCTAGATCTGCCTATTTGTCATGCATAAATAAACTGCCACCCGATCAATTACGCCCGGAGTAACAATTACCGTACATAATATATTGACGGAAATCGACGGGCGACTTGTGTACCTACCCGAGGCTGCATAATTGATTGTCAGTTTCATTCACTTGTTACTCAGTATACACTATACACGCTGCCTGTCAATGATGTTATCGGTATTAACAGATAATCACTTTCTAATACTCCTTTTTTCCCTGAAAATGTTTTATTAATTAAACTGATATTGATGGAGAAATGAACGAAATTGTAGGACGAAAATGTTGTCGTCTTAATCGGATGCCTTTTTTTGGGATTTAAATGTTTTTATACTAACTAATGAATGATTAGACCAATAATTAAATAAGAAATTACATAAATAAATAGACAAATAAGATTTTTAACTAATAAATGAAAAATTAAGGAATTATGTTAATTTTTTTGTTAAAAGTAAGTTTGCAAAATTTCTCATTTTTAATACAGTAGGTGTACACACAGATGAAAACATCTGTTGTAATGTATATAGACTTTAATCATCTGCTGTTAAAACTCTGTTGACAGGCTGATGAATTGTCTTTTCTGTTGTGTTATCCATCAACAAAGTACAAATGTAGGAGATGACCTTTGGTCAGTGTCCTCACGCAGGAAATATATCATACGTTCCATCTTACAGGAAATTTCATTCATTGCGATACGTACAAGAATCTGAGAATTTCACATTTTACCTAGTCTCTGGGGAGGTAAAATGGAAATTTCGTGACGAAATTAATAAATTATATGAAATGGAAACGAATGTTTTCATGTGTCATAAAATTTCGCGAAACATTTTCGAGAAAAGTTTTTGAAAGATTTAAAATATTTGTTGGATTTAAATTTAATTCTTTTGTATAAGATGAAGATTGCTTTCCTGTTGGCATAGGAACGTTAAGGATAGTTCTGTTAAACTATAATATCTTAGATATTATTAAAAACTCTATCTATAAAACTAGAAGCATCAGCTTGATGCCCTTAGTATTGCTATCAAAGATAGTCTTCTGGTAAACACATGCATTATTAATGATAAAACCCAACAAATCTAAAGGCAATTTGGTTTAAACTGGATCAAATGGAAAATTACACTGTAACTGTAATACACTTCAATTCTGAGCAGAAAGTATTTTACATTTTTTTCGATTAGCCCGGAACACAATTTTACATTTTTTTGATGATTATAAGTTAACGAGAGATAGAGAGGGTTCTGAAAAATTACCCTATAATACTGAGTCTACACTGTGAGTCTACATTGTAATACTGAGTCTACACTATAATACTGAGTCTACACTGTGATATTAAGTCTACACTGTGAGTCTACACTGTGATATTGAGTCATACTGTAATACTGAGTCTACAATGTAATGCTGAGTCTACACTGTGAGATTAAGTCTACACTGTAATACTGAGTCTACATTGTAATACTGAGTCTACACTGTGAGATTAAGTCTACCCTGTAATACTGAGTCTACAATGTAATACAGAGTCTACAATGTAATACTGAGTCTACCCTGTTATACTAAGTCTACACTCTAATACTGAGCCTACAATGTGATAATGAGTCTACCCTGTAATACTGAGTCTACCCTGTAATACTGAGTCTACATTGTAATACTGAGTCTACTCTGTAATACAGAGTCTACAATGTAATACTGAGTCTACACTGTAAAACTGAGTCTACACTGTGATATTGAGTCATACTGTAATACTGAGTCTACATTGTAATACTGAGTCTACCCTGTAATACTGAGTCTACACTGTAAAACTGAGTCTACACTGTAATACTGAGTCTTCACTGTAATACTGAGTCTACACTCTAATACTGAGTCTACACTGTGATATTGAGTCATACTGTAATACTGAGCCTACAATGTGATAATGAGTCTACCCTGTAATACTGAGTCTACCCTGTAATACTGAGTCTACCCTGTAATACTGAGTCTACACTCTAATACTGAGTCTACACTGTAAAACTGAGTCTACACTGTAAAACTGAGTCTACACTGTAATACTGAGTCTACCCTGTAATACAGAGTCTACACTGTAATACTGAGTCTACCCTGTAATACAGAGTCTACACTCTAATACTGAGTCTACACTGTAAAACTGAGTCTACACTGTAATACTGAGTCTACACTGTAATATTGAGTCACACTGTAATACTGAGTTTACACTGTAATACGGAGTCAATACTGTAATACTGAGTTTACAATGTCATACTGAGTTAATACTGTAATATTGAGTCTACCCTGTCATACTGAGTCTATCCTCTCATACTGAGTTTACACTGTAATACTGAGTCAATACTGTAATACTGAGTTTACAATGTCATACTGAGTGTACCCTGTCATACTTAGTCTACCCTGTAATACTGAGTCTACACTGTAATACTGAGTCTACACTGTAATACTTAGTCTACCCTGTAATACTGAGTCTACACTGTAATACTGAGTCTACACTGTATTGCTGAGTCAATACTGTACTACTGAGTCTACACTGTAATACTGAGTCTACACTGTATTGCTGAGTCAATACTGTACTACTGAGTCTACACTGTAATACTGAGTCTACACTGTAATACTGAGTCTACCCTGTAATACTTAGTCTACCCTGTAATACTGAGTCTCCACTGTAATACTGAGTCTACACTGTAATACTGAGTCTACACTGTAATACTTAGTCTACCCTGTAATACTGAGTCTACACTGTAATACTGAGTCTACACTGTATTGCTGAATCAATACTGTACTACTGAGTCTTCCCTTTAATACTGAGTCTACACTGTAATTTTGAGTCTGCACTGTAATCCTGAGTCTATCATATAATACTGAGTCACACTGTGATACTGAGTCTACACTGTAATACTGAGTCTACACTGTAATACTAATTTTGTCTACCCTGTAATCTGTCTCCACTGTAATACTGAGTCTACACTATACACCTGTAATAACTGAGTCTACACTGTATTGCTGAATCAATACACTGTAATTTTGAGTCTGCACACACTGTAAATACCCTGAGTCACACTGCACCGTATTATTGAGTCAATAATGTAATACTGAGTCTACACTGTAATACTTAGTCTACACCGTATCACTGAGTCAATACTGTAATACTGAGTCTACCTTGTACTACTGAGTCTTCCCTGTAATACTGAGTCTACACTGTAATACTGAGTCTACACTGTAATACTGAGTCACATCTGTAACACTGAGTCTACACTGTATCACTGAGTCACATCTGTAACACTGAGTCATACTTTACTACCTAGCCTACCCTGGAATGCTTTGTTTATACTAACAATCTTTGGTCTGTTTTGAAATAATCTGTCTATCCTGAATTAATGTCCTTTTAATGTGATACTCTGTCTATAATGTAATACTATTAATCGCGGCCGGAAGTCGAACTTCATATTTGACACGTATAGACAGCTGGATTGACCTAATTTTGTATAAAACATCATTGTTATTCGATAAAGATGGTTCAATTCAAAATAGATCTGATGCGACAGGTTTTGTAGGAGTTGACTGTGTATCAGTCGAAAATGGTTTGTAAATATAGATAGTACCATCAAAGTATCATGGTGTAAATATAGACAAAAAAGTAGAGACAATGTATCACAGTGTAAATATAGAAATAACACCAAAAAGTAGAGACAATATATCACGGTGTAAATATAGACAAAAATGTAGAGACAATGTATCACGGTGTAAATATAGACAAAAAAGTACAGACAATGTATCACAGTGTAAATATAGACAAAAATGTAGAGACAATGTATCACGGTGTAAATATAGACAAAAAAGTAGAGACAATGTATCACGGTGTAAATATAGACAAAAAAGTAGAGACAATGTATCACAGTGTAAATATAGACAAAAATGTAGAGACAATGTATCACGGTGTAAATATAGACAAAAAAGTAGAGACAATGTATCACAGTGTAAATATAGACAAAAAAGTAGAGACAATGTATCACAGTGTAAATATAGACAAAAAAGTAGAGACAATGTATCACAGTGTAAATATAGACAAAAAAGTAGAGACAATGTATCATAGTGTAAATATAGACAAAAAAGTAGAGACAATGTATCACAGTGTAAATATAGACAAAAAGTAGAGACAATGTATCATGGTGTAAATATAGACAAAAAAGTAGAGACAATGTATCACAGTGTAAATATAGACAAAAAGT